TCAGTTTCTCACTGGGTTATCGGATGGTAAGCTGGGGCGCCGTATTCAAGGATTGGTCTAATGAGCGAGGTGAATAGGCGAGGGACGGTTTCTTCGGACATGTGGAGAAACTGCGTCGTAATGCCCAGAGCATACGAAGTCCCGCACGGTACAATTTCTCTGTATTTTCTAGTGATCTCATATCATGTCGCGACAGCACTCCCAAGTCTCTGACAAATGTGTTCGGGTGGAGCAATTGGCCGATCAAAGTGTATGATCGAGTGGATGGACGTCTGGTACTACTGATGAACTCCGACTTGCTTGCGTTAAGAGGGAGTTGCATTTCAGTGGACCACGTTGACAGTCGCTCTAAGTCATGCTGGAGGCGAGCGCAGTCGTCCTGGTTCTCAATGATCCTCCAGATTTTCAAATCATCTGCAAACAGGGCACATGGTGACTGGAGCTGCTGCGAAGATCGTTGATATGAATAAGAAATAATACTGGCCCAAGTACAGTTCCTTGAGGCACGCCACTGGTCGATGGGAACCAGTCTGTCAGGTAGTCATTGACCTGTACTCTAAACCTTCGTCCCACAATAAACTCGTGTAACCACTGAAGTAGCGTGCCACCGATTCCGTATGTCCTCAGTTTACGAAGGAGTACCTCGTGGTTCACTCTGTCAAACGCCTTACTAAAGTCGATGTACACCACGTCAACATCCTTCTGTTCGTTGAGAGCTCGTACCCACTGGTGGTTTGCGTACATCAAGTTGGTGATGCAGGATCGCTCTATCGTAGTGCCGTGTTGCGCTGGCGTCAATACGTCCATCGATTCAATGAACGACAGCAGACACTTCTTCACAACCTTCTCGGGAACTTTGGAGAATATCGAAGTTAAACAGATCGGTCTATAGTTCTCTACTTTGTTCTGATCACCACCTTTGGGAAGCCGTCACACTATAAAGCATTTCCAATTGTTGGGGACAGATCCTTCAGAGAGTGATTTATTGAATAAGTTTGTCCCGGCTGTTGAGATGATAATCGATAGGGACTTGAGTATTAGTGGGTGAAGTCCGTCTGGTCCGGGGGGGCTTTGCACCATCGATGTTGACGAGTAGCTGATACACTTCGACTGCATCACATTGTAGGCTGTCGAGCAAGACTGGTGCAACCTGTGCCGGTACTGGAACAGCCGCCGGTTTACTGGAACATACGGTAAGTGCGTAGCCAATGCGTCCGCGCGCTCCTCTCTTGAAATATGCGCCTATCCGTCCAAGCTCTCTATGACCGGTAGGTCGCCTCCAGGTTTCAGTTGACGTTTCAAGTAGGCAACTATTATTTTGTGTGTAGTGGTGGCCGAGGATGCTAGCTCCTTTTCGAAGTGCCGGCATTTCTTAATCTTTATGGCGTTACATAAGTCACGCTGTTTCTTGTACACCGTGTAATCTTCATCACAACTCGAGCTGATGTATCTATCCCAAAGTTTGCGACGCCGTCGCGCTAACTGTCTATATTCCGTATCAAACCAATGCGGTTTGACAGGTCCGATTTTTGAATACTTCAGGGAAACGAACCGAGTACACAGCGAGTTAAGCTTTCCCTTCATTAATGACCAACAAGCCTCAAGCGACGCATCCTGTGGTAGTGTCCAACCAGTCTGACTTGCGGCCTGGAGGAGCCAGTTGAAGTCCGTCTTCCAATAACTGAATGTCGGCTTCCGTTGGTTGTAATACGGTAACGACAGTTCTATGCTTGCCACAATGGAGCAGTGGTCACTGTTCGCCAGAGGTTCGAGGACTCTGATCTCGTTCAGCTTCTGCTCGCAGCTCGTAAACATTAGGTCCAGACAAGATGCCGAGTGCGGAGTTACGCGCGTCGGTTGGATGACATGTTGCGTTGCCCCGATTTCAATAGTCATTTTAGCGAATTGAGCCTCAACGTTGCCATGACCGGGAAGAAGTCGAACGTCTGGCCAGAATATCTTAGGTAAATTTAGATCCCCATCAGTAAGAAATGAGGGCGGCTCATGTGCTTCTGTACATGTGGTAGCCAATCGCAACAACGGTTTAATGGGCTACGGTAGATAACACCCACTATTAGTTCTGCGCGCCTGAGGCTGATTGTGCACCACAATTGCTTGCATAACCTATTCGCGCTCCGATAGGTGCTGATAAGTGTTCCAGATAGTGACGATTTTATGTACAACAGAACACCACCATCAGCCTTTGATTTTCGGTCGCATCGGAAACAAGAGTACCTGACAACCCGACTTCTTGGGGTATGACGTCCGAGTTCAGCCAAGTCTCTGCAAGTCCTAGAACGTCCGGTCGCTCCGAGACAGCGAAGCGGCACAGTTCGTCACCTTTGTTCATTAGGCTGAACACGTTGACGAATGCCACACGGAGGTCCTGGGAGGTCCTGCGGGAAGTGCCTGGAAGTTGAGCAACCCGTTGATACGGGTTCCTACACCCTTCTTGATCACGTGAAAATTTACAATTTGTAAGTCAGTCTCGCATTGCTCTGTACAGCGTTTGAGCTCAATGACCACAGTCTTCAAATGATCCCTGTCTTCGGGTTCCAAGTCTCTGCGGATGTGAAATGTTATGCCTTTCAGCCTTGACAGACGAGACAGTATGAGGTGCAGCACATTGTAATTTGCAAATGTGATTTTCAGCTGTTAACATGAATGGTTAGTTTTCGGGTCAACTCGGATTACTTGTTTAATCGTCACACTGTCTTCGCCCACATCCAAGAGTCTATCGATGAGCCACTGGAGGAACTCAACAGCTTGATCATAACGTATCTGAGGGTTTTCATCTTTTGACTCTGGTATGTGGAAGACCATGAGATTATGACGCTTCAGCGAAATCAGTGATGAACCTGTGGGAGCAGAACTAGTGGTCCTTATCTGATTGGGTTGTTGTTTATCAGCAGGGGACGTCTGAACTCGATTACGTGGCCCCTTGCGCTTTTGAGTGGTCCATGGATCCTTGGTATTCAGAAGTTCACAGACAGGCTCTGAGAAATTTATGGACCGACAAATGAAGCGGCGTTTCATAGGTTCCGAGTCTGAGTCTACCATCGGTGGGGAAATTGAACCTGAGGCTCGGCCGGAGTCGAAGACCTTGATGGTGGTGCAGATCGCAGACTGACGAGAGAAGGGGATTTGACAGAGGTACTTCCACAAATGCATTCGACCCCACGTGGTCAACGGTGTTTCTGTCTAGAAGAGTGGTTTTCCCGTAATTGTCGGCGGTCGCTATGTATTCTAATGTTTTACACCACGACATTTATCACACATAACTTGAAAAAACCGATGTCGGATGTCGAGAGACATTCGAAACACGTCAACGGATAAGTCCATGCATGAAATATGGAACAAAACATCGCAGCCGAAGCACCGAAATGCATGCGCCTTATTTCCCACAATTTCGATAAAGCTTATGCCATGTCTTTAAACGTCACGAGTGCACCCGACCACTGAAAACCGGTGGGACACAGTGAAAAACTACCTGGGTTATCACAAATACTTTTCAAAGATATGTTCCATAAATTAAGTTTGTCTATCCAATCTATGCCTAGCAAGTTCAAATATCCATAACATGTAACGTAACAAACACAATTAGCATGCAAATCAAGAAGTGCAAACACACCATTGAACTGTCCAAGAAAGGGTAATTCCGAACCGAACGCGTCATGAGCGATGTGTGAAGTTTGAACACATGCGGATTTACCTAGCTTTCTCCATGTGGACTCAGAAGTTATTGTAACATCGGAAGCCGTGTCCAGTTGAAGTCGGACAGAAACACCATTTGTTACAATCGTAACATACTTCCGCAGTGACTGGTAGTTCGAGCTAGTGGTTGCAAACATCACATTTGAAACGCAACATTGAAAACTTGGAGTTTTGGCATAAGTTCGTGACGGTCTTCCAGGGGCTCCCTGCAAACATCTAGTTTCCTTATGTTCCATGTTCCTACAACGCTTGCAAATATATCGACTAAATTCACAAAACCGAGCGAAATGCCGCTGATCACAATGCTAACAAGTACTTAATGAGCGGCCGCGGCATGCGAAGTCGGAGAGGCGTACTGCATTTTGCGATGGTCTTAGGCGTGTAGAAATAGTGTCAACATCCACCACACAAGATTCGTTGTGCCGTTGGATCATTTCTGTGTCATGCTTCAGTGTCAACATGTGTTCACATTCCTGTACCAGCTCCTGTAGTGAGACTTCTGGATTAGACTCCAACCGAGATAACAAACGTGTTCGAATCTCCGCATCTTTTGGAGAACGTAATCCACAAACAAAAATGAGCGTTTCAAACTGATCACTTGTGAGTGGACTAAAGTGAAAACGTTCACATTCCCTGTTAACAATAGCTACATAAGTCACAAAATCATCCTCATGTTGTTCAACAATTTGAAAATATCGGGAAAGTGTGTTGTAAAGTGAAGTTTTAGGGCCGAAAATGCTGGTCAAGTCTTTCACAGTGTCGTCCAATGCAACATCGCGTGGGTTTTTGGATAGTATGTAATTAGAGTACTTCTCATACTCTTTTGGACCCAATTTTTCAAAAAATAGTCATACCTGAGTTGCGTCGCCTAGCTCACGCCCATCAACTTTTAACAAGTCTCCATAGCGACGAAATCATGCTTCGAAAGTGAGGTCATCGTCCGGCTGGTAATGAAATTTTGCGATACTGTGCGCCAGCTTGTCTGCAGTGGAAACCGCTAGGTACATAGCTGCTGACTGTAACGACTTTGGTGTTGTCAATGTTTCGCTTAAGCGTTGCTGTGACGCCTCAAACTATGCTTGCTGTCTGGTCAGCATTTCCTGACGAAATTCCAAAGCAACCGTAATGGTTCCCCTTCGCCAGTCTATTATAACGTCTGAATCTAACTTCTCCGAACGGAAAGCAAGAACAACACCGCGTTGGACTAGCTGTATAGAAAAACTGACAAAGCTGAGCAAAAAATCATTAGATCAATAAGCCAACCACATGAAAGGACATAGTCATATATGGTGAGTGGTCTAGTTCTGAACGACTGTCGTGCGTGTGTCCAACACAATCACGTGACGAGAGAGATACGAATGTCAAACTACCTAGCTGTGAGCTACTGTGGAACGCAAGCTCGTCCAACAACTTCACTTCGCAAGTCAGAGTTACTAACAGCTATTCTCCGTGAGTGTTTTATGAATTATTCGATGACGGATATAGCTTATTACTATCGCAGATGTATGGGTGGAAAAGTGGAAATAAAGATGAAAACTGCCGTACATCAGGTCTTCGCCGTCCGTTTTGTGGCTGCTTTCTTTATAATGTTTCCACCGAGTGTATCAGTAGACTATTCAGGAGATGCCTCATCACAGCAATGGCCTTGACGCTTTTTGAACGCCCGTGGACATATGATTGACAGCACCCGGTTGCGGGGTTTGTATGTCACTGCGGCCTCGCTGAGGACGGCCGCAGGACACTTGCGCCTACAGATAGGCCATAGGTGGCATGTAATGCACCGCCCACAACTCTATCCACACACCCCATATCCAGTGTAAAGCTGAAGGAAGAAGACCAGGAGGTATGTGGATGGGAGCCGCGTTTCATCAAAGGACGCATTCAGAAAAAGAACGGACCCCCATTGTGTAGGCTAACGCCGGTTGTGCAACGTTCATTACATTAAGTCCTCTGTCAATGCCCACAGACTATATCTCATAATTAGTAAATCATGCGTCCCAGACTTACACAACGCGGTGGCTGGACAGTAGTCCGCTCCGTAGTCCGCCTATGAGCCTAGCATCGTCACGTGAACAGTGCATCCCATCCAATCCGTCAACCATCCACTGTCTCCTGGAGCGAGTATAGACGAGATGATGGCTAATAAACAGGTAGACACCTTGTCAACATTCACAGCAAGCGCAGCCGCACCGAAAATACCAATCAACAACTAATCCTTGAAATGCAAGAAAGTCAACACGCAAGCACACGTACGGACCGATGGTAACGGCGATGCGGCCCACGAATCATTTCAACGGCCTTAGTTGCCTGGGTTAGTAAATCGAATGGAAGCGGACTCGACTTACCTAACAAGCCCTGCGCTGATTATGCTTAGGTAATCAGTTAGCTCGTCGTCTATTGGATCCTAGCCCCACGTGACAAAGCGGATGGATTACCAAACCCGCTTGGTTCAGGCACTCGCGACCGCATGTGCTAAAGCACCATGTACTTGAGGTCGATAGCGTAGACTCCTTTGGAGCTTGTCGCTTTCGTATCAGGCCTTTTACCTCTAGGTGCAATGGTTCCTTCTCTGGCACCTGCGCAACCGCCATCTCGACCGACTCACGCCATCTGCGCTTTGATCCCTAACAGCTGAAATCAACATTAGTTAGGGATAAACCCACCTTGATCACGTCCTGGTACCGGAAATTTTTCGTTTCGGGGGGGGGGGGGGGGGGTGGCGAGGGGGGGGGGGGGGGGGGGGGGGGGGGGTGGGGGGGGGGGGGGAGGGGGGGGAGTGTGGGGGGGGGGGGGGGGGGGGGGGGGGGGGGGGGGGGGGGGGGGGGGGGGGGGGGGGGGGGGGGGGGGGGGGGGGGGGGGGGGGGGTGGGGGTTATGGGGGGGGGGGGCGGTTGCCTGGCTGTCCGCTGCGTCTTAGGTTTTTCTTTATAAGTA